TTTTTCCATCTTTTTGTGTCTTCTTCAATTTCTTTCATGAGTGTTCTGTAGTTCCTAGAGTATAAATCCTTTACCCCTTGGTTAGGTTTATCCCAAGATATCTTACGGTTTTTGGTGCTATTGTAAATGGAATCGTTTCTGTAATTTCTCTTTCTACAGTTGCATTGTTAGTGTGTAAGAAAGCAACTGATTTCTGTGCAGCATTACTGAATTGCTGTATGAGTTCTAGTAATTTGGGGGTGGAGTCTTTTGGGTTTTCCACATAAAGTATCATGTCATCTGAGAAAAGAGAGTTTGACTTCTTTTTTGCCAATTTGAATACCTTTTATTTCTTTTTGTTGTCTGATTGCTGTTGCTAGGACTTCTAGAACTATGTTGAATACTAGTGGCCAGAGTGGGCATCCTTGACGTGTTCCTGATCTTAAGGGAAAGGCTCTCAGCTTTTCCCCATTGAGGATGATATTCGCTGTCTCACAGACTTTTGACAGTGCCCTATACCTAATGTAACAGTGTACTTCAAGTTATATGATACTGTAGTAAAAGTCAGTTTGGAACAATGGAAAATGGCATCTGTTCTTATTAGAGTCATATTAAGAATTCACTCTCTGATGCTATGTAGTTGACTTTCCCTCAGGTATAGATAAGGGGGGAAAGTTTAAAATCATTGGTTACAATGAAAAGTAATTTATGGATTTAGATAAAAAATATCCCTGTCTCAAAAAAAAAGAAAACTGAGAAGCTTTGAAGTAATCATATTAAATAGTCGTGTTCAACTTCAGAAAAGATATACCTTAAAAGTTTCCTAAAATCTTGACTAACTGGAATCCTGGAAGATTTAATTGAAATTATTTCATGAGCTGAGGAATAGCCAGAAAAGCTTCATTATGACCCTTGTTGGAAAACCCTTATAAATGTTGGGTGTCCCCCCCCCAGGTTAGTAAACATTACTGAATCTCTTCAATGATTGAGGGTTTTATAGGTTATGATTTTTAATATTCTAATCACATAGTAGTGTACAAGATAAAAGTGGCTGAATTGGTACAAATAACAATCTTTTGGAAATCTATTTTTTTTAAAGCTTTGCAAGTTTTAAATAATGTATTCTCTCAAAAAGAGTATTCATGCTGTTTGGTCAAGTAAAAGTTCTATTCAGTCAGTTTTGTTCTGGTTATAAGTTTAATTTACTCTAGTTGGTAACCTCTTAAAAAGAATCTTTGTCAGTCATAGGGTATTTAGGTAAAGTGTTTAGGAGTCAGACTTGGGCTGTGATAGGCTTGGCTCTCCTTGAACATTTTAAATAATTTGCAGATTATTGCTTGAAGACTTCAGATATACAAAAGGACAGTCCACAATTAATACAAAAGGACAGTCCACAATTAATTATGAATAGAGCACTGGTTCCACTGATACATACAAGTAAAATTTGAAAACCAGATATTCATGGGTAGTATTCACAATTTATTTTGCTGACCCTCAATATTAGTTTAGATAAAGTATTGTGGTCTGATTAGATAAAATAATATGATTAATTTAGTAGAGAAAGGAGGCGCTGTGAGATTATAAGTATTGATAATGTATATTTCCTTAAAACAGGTAGTGCCAGGAGAGACTGCACTGGCGTTTTATAAAGCTAAGAATCCTACAGACAAACCAGTAATTGGAATTTCTACGTACAATGTCGTACCATTTGAAGCTGGACAGTATTTCAATAAAATACAGGTACAGCTTAAATATGCAAACTTTAGTACTAAACTTACTGCAGTGTTTAGTAGAAGCCAATTTCTGAAAATGCATTTCTTCTAAACATTAAACTTTTCTTCCATTGCTTAGAACAGATGAATCAAATGGGTATCTCCTTTTAAAATTAGAAGAGGAACAGGGTGCCTGGGTGGCTTAGTCGGTTAAGGGTTGGAGTCTTGATTTTGGTTCAGGTCATGATCTCAGGGTCATGGGATCGAGCCTGGCAGTGGGCTCGGTGCTCAGCTGGGAGTCTGCTTCAGATTCCCTCCCCCACTCTCCATCTGCCTCTTCCCCCCCTCCCCCCAAAAAATTTGTTGGGTCTCAATTTTTTTTTTTTAATTTTTTAAGATTTTATGAGTGAGAGAGAGAGAGCACATGTGCACGCTCACAAGTGGAGAGGAGGGGCAGAGGGAGAAGCAGGCTCCCTGCTGAGCAGGGGGAGCCCATTGAGTCTCAAAGCGAAAATCAAATGTTGTCATTCTGTCACAGAACTTAGATTATAGTTAAATTTTTTTATAATATTTAATTGTAGTATGCTTACTAAAGCTAAGAAATGGACCATTATTTCTATTCTAATAGAAACTAAACAAATACCTTTTTATAACTTCTAGTGCTTCTGTTTTGAGGAACAAAGGCTTAATCCACAAGAGGAAGTAGATATGCCAGTGTTTTTCTACATTGATCCTGAATTTGCTGAAGATCCAAGAATGGTGAATGTTGATCTCATAACTCTTTCTTATACTTTTTTTGAAGCAAAGGAGGGGCAGCAGCTGCCGGTTCCAGGCTATAATTGAAGTCAGCACCTAAGTCTTGCTTCAGATTTGTGATTTTTGAAAAATCATGTATCTGTATCTTGTCTTCTCAGGGGAGAAGTATTCTACAGTAATGTGAAGCTATTTTAAATATTTAATGCTGTTTTTTTTTCCCAATTTACCCTACTTAAAATTGAACGGTTTCTGTCATAAGGAATCCACATGCCTATTTAGAACGTATGACTGTTCAAAACCATAGAGTAATATAAGTAATATTAAAAGTAATATTGATAAGTAATAATAAAAGAAACTGCTGTTTCTTAAATATGTAGGCATGGACTTGATGGTTCAGTTTAATTCTGTTTGCTCCCCTTACAGATTACTAGCCCTTCATACTTGTAGCAGTGAGTATTTTTATTATTCCCAGGGTTATCTGTTTTAGGCTCCAGGTCATAACTTCTGCCCATTTTTATTATTTCTAAAATAGTTGCTTACTACTTTCTTTTACTGTGGATAGTCACTACTTTAAAAGCTCAAAATGGAAGAAGAATCACTTAACCCTAACAGCTTGCCCAGAGATTACATTCTGACTTCAGATTTGAGTATTTTTCCTTTAGGCTCTAGGGCTATTTTATATTCTGAAATTTTGGCATCATGAAAATGAAATAAAATGCACAAATGTTTACTAGGGTTATAGCATTTCCTATGATAGTTCAAGTCCCTGAATGTTAAAATATAAGTGTGGAATTGTGAAGACTCACATCAGAAGTTCTATGAACGAACTCTGTTAAAAAAAAAAAAAAAAAAGTATTGTTTTAATAGTAATTTGTCATTGTAATTTATGACATAAATGAATGCACAATTTATTCTGAATGTTTTCCAGTAGTGTTTGTTCCAAATAGAAATATTACAGTAAAAAGGGGAGAAAAAAGATCATCTAGTATTATAAAGAATCATATTTCAAGGCAACTTTAATGAACAGTCCAGTGACCTCTTCAGGGTACCTGAAATATAAATCATGAAGGCTTTTACAAGTTATAATTCTAATTCTAAACAAGTATTATTTATAAAAAAGTACAAATTGACTTTTACATTCAACTTAGTTAAATGAAGGCACTCAAAAGTCTTCATAATTATTTTGTAATAAAAATCTTCATCTACTCATCACAGCTGTGTGAGGATTTCTTTTCTAAAGGTAGGAAGCCCTGTGAAACCTAAGATGCTATCATTAAACTACCTGGCCTCAGTACAATGGATTTTTCTTCTGAAGTTTTAAGTGAATATATGTTAACCCAAGTTCTTTTGAGATAAAGTTTAAACTGTGGTCTGGAAGCGTAAATATTCCTCTGGAACTGTTACTCTTCTGTGAAACTTCATTATTGCCCAGGAAAAATGTTCCACCAAGCTTCTGATGTGCTGGTAGGTCTTGTCTTCTGGGCCTCAAAGCTGCACAGGGTCTACATTTTAGAGTTGGCACCTCTAATGTAGTTAGTGAGCTGGTCATCCACTTTCACCTAGAATAAAGAGAATATAGCCACCCTGCATTCTTTCCTTTTCTTCCCCCATTCCTAGATAACTAGAGAGTCACAAGCTAATGCAGAAAGGTGGGAATGTACTACTTCCACGGGGGCAGATATGAGGGGAATAAATAAGGTTAATGGGTTACTGGTGGCCATGCATTCATTAGTAAATAAAATAGGAAGACTAATACAGCAAATAGGAAGAATCCAGGCCTACTGGGATGAGCAATGAGTGGGTTTTACCAGTTAATAGGTATTAACTATACGTAAAAGATAAATGTCTATTTCAGTGCTAAGAAGTTTCTATTGATCATTATTTTTGTTAGCATTAATATTTCTATACCATAAACCAACTTCTACATTCCAAAGGTTCATTATTTTTAGCTAACAAGCTCACAAAGATTACAATTTGATGATTAGGAGAAACTTTTGTACTAAGATTTCACTCAAGTGCCATTATAAAATGTAAATAGTAAAAACAAAGTACACTGAAATTCTATAGAATGGGGAATGTAAGTTGTATAACTTGAAGTCTACCTCAACAGTCACTATGACTTGGAGCTCCTTTCTGGTGATGAACATCAATTTCTTCATAAACAGCTCTGAAACAAACAAACCATCATGGCAAAAAGGTTACTATAAATCAAAGTACTATTTTGGCTTTTAACTACCAACACCTTAACTAAAACTCTGGTGCCATTTTAGGTATTCAGGTTATATCAGTGAATAAAATCAGATCTCTGCCCTTGAAGCTTACATTATAGCTTTTTTAGAGCCTAATGTAATTCCAGTGCATCTTATAAATATGTATCTCATATAACCATTTTACTTGTGACTTAATGAAAAATGTGGCTCAAGTATGGACAGTTTGCTTTCTGCTTTACAAAAAAAAAAATTGTTCAGTTTTTTCCAGGTTTCTAAACATTTAAAAGTACTAACATTCTACCTTTTAATAACCTATGTTATTACAGTCGAAATTCCTGAGCCCCCTTCAGCTTATAATTGTCATCTCTGTACCTCATTTATAGTAATTTTTTATGGCATCATGCAGTTCTTCATATATGTCTTACATGGCCTGTAGCTAAGAAAACATCTAAACCTACAAATACAACATTGATACAGTACAGCAGAGCATGGCTGGGGAAAAAAATCTTACAAAAAAATCATAGCAGGTTGAAGCCATGTTCACCAATGTCACAAGGCCCCAAGATGGTCCAGGAATTTTAATGTGTTTCCACAAAACTATTTTAACTTCTTTGACTCCTTAAATCTCTGGTTCCCCTCCTCTTACACTCTTGGTCAGAAACCTCACTAATAGGTAAATTAAATGCTTTGGTATGGAAACTTTCTCATCTCCCTATCACCAAATCTTCAAGTCTCTCTTCATCTATACCACCATCTGCTTCTGTGATCCTACCTACACCTGGCTTCTCAAGCATGTTACTCACTTAGTCCTTCCCCTTTTTGAACCTCTGGCCTCCCTATTATATCCTACTGGTCAGCATTCACAGATGATCCAGCATCTCTCATTTTCTAAAACAAGGCAGTCCTCAATCCTGTGTCTACTTGGAGTGATCATCTCAGTAACCTCTAGCTACCAAGCCACTTTCCACCATCCCTTCATGTGGAAGTTTCTAGTGTCATCTATACCGATCATCCCTACTTCTCTCCTGTTAACACACTAAAATCTGGCTTCTGTCCCCATCAATCTAGCAAAACAGCTTTTACACCAAGGATTTCCTTCTACTTAATTAACTAGTTTTCAGTTGTCATGTCTGCTAGTTCATCCCAGTTGCGCACTCCCTTCTGGTTTCCAAATTGCTATTTCCACATCTGCTAATAATAGGCTCCCTATTGCTCTCTTTGCTCTTGGCTTTGGCTGTTCCATTTCCTTGAATATGTCCAAACTCTCTCTACTTAGAGTCTTTGTACCCATTGTTCCCTGGGTCTACAACACTGATTCCCAAACTTGTCACCTAATAATTGCAGATCTCAACCTTAATGTCACTTCCTTAAGCTTTCTCTAGCCCTCATTTAAATTAGTTCTTCCTGTTCTAAACTTTCAAGTCACCATGTTCTTTCATACCATTAACACAAACTAAATGCATGTTCGTCTGATTTTTTTCCTTTTTTTTTTTGAGTAGGCTCCATGCCCAGCATGGGGCCCAACACAGACTTTGAACTAATGACCCTATCCTGAGATCAAGACCTGAACTGAGATCAAGAGTTGGACGCTGGGGCGCCTGGGTGGCTCAGATGGTTAAGCGTCTGCCTTCGGCTCAGGTCATGATGCCAGGGTCCTGGGATCAAGCCCCGCATCGGTCTCCCTGCTCGGCAGGGAGCCTGCTTCTCCCCCTGCTCATGTTCTCTCTGTCTCGAATGAATAAATAAAAAAATCTTTAATTTAAAAAAAAAAGAGTTGGACACTTAACAGACTGAGCCACCCAGCTTCCCCATGATTTCTTCTTCCACACTAGATACAACCTCCATGAGGATGGGGAGGACATCCTGTCTCTTGTTCAACATTATAAATTAGGCACCAGTCATTGTCCTTGGCACATAATGTTCAAGGATGCCAAATGAATCGTGTGTACATATATGTATACAACTTCATAAATATTGTACTCATCCTACTAGAACAGAAATTCTTAACCTAGGGTTCATGGACACCCAGTGATGTGAAAATTCCAGAACTTTTTCTACAAGACTTTGTGGTTTTCCTTAGGGAGAAGTTCTTAAGGTGAATTTCAAAGGAATGAGACACCCTACCCCCCTCAGAAAGTAACCACAATGGTAGAGAATTCCAAAGCTCCACATCTCCAACTTCTCTCTCTCTCACATCTAATATCTGTTGCACTGTCATATCTACTTATAATTTCCTAATTAACTGGAATATAATAAACTCCTACTTCCTCTTTGGATGCTATTTGATTTCTAATTCCTTAAGCCACTAATATATTCAGTGATACTTTCTCAAGCAGAATAACCTAGGGAAATTTTGCAGTCCTACATTAGGAAAAAATATTTAATGAACTCCTCTGTTAAAATTCATAAATTATTCCAAAATGGATCACTATATTAGTGGTTTAAAATCAGGGGTCAAAACCTCAAATGCTTAACACATGCTGGGCCGATCAAATAAATGGACAAAGGGCCAGTTGGGGCCTGGTGAACTGCAGAGCATACCTTGTCTTAATGAGGCAGCTACTACTAAGTCCTAACGTAGTGCTAGCATATAAAAATGCAGGCCTGGCATTGCCACAGTATCAAAGGAATCCAGAACTCCAGATACTTTTTTTTTTTTTACAATATCCCAGTTTTTAATTTTTGGCAATTTATTTTTAAATGCACAGTTTAAATTCCACATAGGTCAAACAAAACACAGCTGTAAGTAAGATACTGCTTAAAGGCTGCCAGTTTCCCAACAATGGTTTCTATAAAATTGCTTTAATCCTTTTTAAAATTCTGGGGGTAATCGTCAAAGTATATTAAAGCTCTAATTAGCCTACTATTGCATAAATATATACACTTGACCAATATGAAATATAAAATAATACTCTAAGGACTTCAAGTTAGGAAGACATGTTTACACTCATGCTTTATTAATCCATTTTAAGTTGACATAGAGTGAAGACTAAAAACAAGTGTTTTTTTTTTTGTGATTAGTAGTTAAAGAACAGTTAAAATAATCCATCAATGTGGTATTACTTATGTCACCAATCAGTGAATATAGTGCCCTTCTCAAGCTGGAGAGAACCTGACTTTTTCCCAAGGCATCTGCGTGGAACCCGTTAATGTACATGACGGCTCTGGTTATTTCTTAATGTGCAGCCCCCAGCATTTTTATTTTTTAGTCATAAAGCCGAGCACAATAAGACCATTAAGAGCAACAGCCTCCATAAAACCTAAGTCATTTTTAATAAGGTCATCAATTTCTGCCAAGACCTAAACAAAATTAAATGTATAACCAAGCCCTGTTAGCTCTGTTACCAAAGGAAACCCAGACGAAAAGTAAATTAATCATTTTGTAAATGACTTACTCTGTAGCGACAGCAGGAGCTAAGGGATCAAACTCCATTACCTTGTAGTAATTGGGTGGCTGGAGATCATTCTTTGTCATTGCTTTAGGCAAAAAAAAAAAAAAAAACCCTAAGCAGTAAACACACATTGTGCTTTTCAAGAACACATGCACAATTAATATTGTCTTTATGATTCAGACTTCAAACATAAGACCCTAAGAAACCTTGACAACCAGAAATAAATACAACTGGTATTCTAATGCTACTCCCACATGCAACAAATCTATATATAACAAAAGGACTTCCAAACTTCAGCTAAAGATTCATTTACCTCAGCATCCCAAATACAACATTCAGCACAACACAAGCATTTTTATAATCTAACGTCAGTCGTAATGGTATCTATATGCCATGAATTTACTTCATGGAGCTTAAAAAAGGACATGAAGTCCTCATTCTTCCTATATAACTATTTTCAATCAGAAGTAAATCTCTGGCAGACTCCTGTATTCTCACATTTCCTTACTCAATGCAAGTAACAAGTCTCAAGTACCTGGATGATTGCTGGGCAAGGAAGGCAGTCTCTGGCTTGACAGTGTTGCTGGAATGTTCTGCAGACTAACTGGCTGTAGTACTGAATTTGAATATTCTGGAAACTGAAGAAAGTAGAGCACAGTGTTCAAATAAACATTCTACATTAAGCTTTTCTTTTGTTATTTAGATTCCTAGGCTTCTAAGTGGCACTATTCCAAGAACCATATACTCCCAATTGGAATTAGAAATTATGAACTATTATTTTTTAGGTAATAACCATTTATAACTACTTTTCTCTCTGGTTCCATGCCCATTGTACCTCATTTCCTATATAAAATGTAAAATTAACATGTTGTTTTAAAAAAAACAAATATATGGCTCAGTCTAGATTCTGTTGTTTCCCATTGACTAAAAAATCGCAGCCTCAAAAAGGCAAGTAAATCTTTAACCCTACAGAAAGGCATAAGGTCATGGCATCGAATCAGGACTGATAAAGATTAATGGGAATATCTTTCTTCTTGTAAACTTCCTCATTCATTTCACAAATATGTCCTGGGCACCTACTAGACGCCTGGCACTATAAATATAAGCCAAATCCCTGCACACTTGAAGCAGACAATCAACAGATGTAAACAGATGTCCGATAACAAGTACTCTTAAAAACAAAACAAAACATAAAAATAGGGTAACAGGGAGAAGAAAGGCTGGGGTAGATGGGGTGGGCTATTGCTGTCATGGTGGTCAGGGAATGCCTCACCATTAGAGACATTTGAGCACAGCCCTAAGGTGGGTGCTGTGACTACCTGAGGGGACACAAAGTCATCTCCGAAGCAGAGGAGACCAGGATGGCTGGAGTAGAGTGAGCCAAGAAAGAGAGGTGAGGTTAGAGAGGTAATGGGAGAGGTCAGATCAGCATTTCAGGTGTTTACAAAGTAAAGCAGAAGAAAATCATAGGTGGGTTTAGAGCAGTTAGGTGATGTATGATTTTTTTTTTTTTTTTTTCCCTTCTTCCTCAGACTGCTCTGGTTTGAGAATAGATTGTATGATGGGGATGGGAGTGGAAAGGGAGGTGAAAGCTCAAGCAGGGTAACCTGAGGAGGCCACTGCAATATCCATCTGTGAGAAGTGGCTAGATAATGTGTATGCTGTGAAGGGAAAAGGTGAAAAGGTAGAGGTCAAGCACTGTTTTCCAAGGTTTTGACTTAAGCAACTGAAAGAGTGGAGGGGTCCTTTACTGAGGTGGGGAAGCCTGCAGGAAAAGCAGGTAGAGAGCCAGGACTGGGAAGAATGCAAAAAGAGATTACTCGGACAGTGAATTTGTGAGTTCTGAGTTTAGAGAAGGGGTTTGGGCTGGAGATACCAATTTTAAGTTGTCAGAGTCTGAATGGTACTTTAAGATATGAGACCAAAAGACTAGAAGAATGAATGTGGAAAGAAGTCTGAAGCCTAAGCCCTGGGGTCTGCAACACTAGAAGGCCAGTAGAGGAGTGGGGGCCAGCAAAGGAACTAGAGAAGTGGAATTGAGAAAACAAGTGAGTGGTGTCTGAAAGTCACATGTGTGAAAAAGGAAGAAGTGAGTGATTCTGTCACCTGCTGCTGATAAATCAGGTAAAAGAGGACTGAAAATTGCAGTACTAGATTTGGTAATAATGGAGGTCACTGGAGACCATGACAAGAGCCAAACCAGCACAGTGGGAGGAATGAGAGCCTGTATGAAGTCTGTCAAAAAGGATGGAAGGGAAGAAGAAGAGACAGCTACTATAAATAACACTAAAGGAATTTTGATCCGTAACCATTTTTCTAACAGAAGTAAGATTCAACTTCTCTATTTTGAAAGACTAAAAAGAAGATAAAGAGAGGTCCTAACAAGGGCTGTATCAACACGTTATAGGACATGTAACAAAACATTGAACAGAACATGAGATTCAATGACCAGGAATTCCTTCTCAGCCATGATAATCTGCTGACTGGGTGTGCTGCCTGGGAAGGGTTTCATTACTTACACTTTCATATGTAGGACTTGAGGTGCTGTTCTGGCTGGTCCTTTGGGCAAACCTAGGAGAGTATGATAAGACAGCATGATTACCCTACAGTGAGAGCACAAAAGCAAAAAGATGACTTCCTGCAAACAAAATCTAAAATGTACCTTCAGACTGCAGTGGAATATTAACTTTATATAACAACTCCCATCTGGTTTCAGTGCCCACCAGCTTTTGATACCCAAATACCGAAGAGAATAAAGACAAAGCACTATCCCTTGGCAGTGGTAGCCCTGAGATCCTGAAGTATACATAATATACTAGTGAGAACAAGCCATCAATTTTTCCATCAGAGTAGCTACCACCCCATCATTTCCTGAAGGATGAGAAGCAATCCAGAGTAGAGGTTAGGAAGGAGGTGGGAAGGGCCCTGGTTTTATATAAGATAGAACACAAACACTTTGCCCTGTCTTTCCCACTGAGGGCAACTACAAGACCTGGACAGGATGCATGGAGCAAATATTTGAGGGCTGAAAAGTGAATAGTTACAGGATGGCTGGGAAGACGACTGGAATTTGAATATCACCAAATCACTGTGAACTTACCTTTTTTTTTTTTTTTTGCCCCTCCTGTATACCTGAACCTGAATGCAATGCAGCCTAAAACCCAAGAGCAGGCAGTGAAGACAGAAAGTTCTAGGAGAAGCCCTTTTGTTCTCACTCAAGGAGCAGGAAACAGAAGTCCTAATGCTCTAAAAAGAAGATAGAGGTTTTCCCCTTTTTTCTTTTTCTTTCTGTTCTCTTGCCCTCTAAACCTGAGGCAATCCCAAAGTGGCTGCAGCGACAGTAGAAGCAACAGGGACCTGTAGAAGTTTATTCATCTGAAGGGACCCTTTCTCTCCAACAAGTATAACTGTGATCCCAGATGACAGCGCAAACCCAGTCTTGTTTTGTTTTGTCTTTTCTGTCCCACTACTTGGTCCCAGACACATGTACAGTCAAGGAAATGCATGGCATATAGTAGGGTAACTGAATCTCCAGCTTTCTGACTGGAGAACCAAAAAGGCAAATCCTAGAAAAGTAAAGCACCAGAGAAATCACAGAGAGGAGGAAATTAAGAAAAACCTTAAAGTTGTTTATGAAATCCTGAGCTCACTCCTTGATCTGTGCCTCTGTGGATCTGATCCTCTGTGGATTTGATTGCCTCTGGGATGCAAAAGATATTGAGAACTAAACACACAACCATCCAGACCTCAGGGTGGCACACATGAGACAGATCGGAATAGCACCACAAAGGCTTTGAAAATGTAACTACTTTGGAACCAGTGACCTCCATATTACCAAATCTAGCACAAAGGCGGCAGGCTGAAGCTGAGGTATGAACCTAAGGAGGTTGTTTGCCTTCGAAAATCAAAAACAGCACCATCCTCAACAGGATTTAAATATGAGCAAGTGTATCCTAACATTAAAAATGCCCAGGATACAATCCAAAATTACTAGGCATGTGAAGAACTGGAAAAGTTTCAACAGGCAAAAAGAAAAGGCAATCAACAGAAGTTGATATCAAGAGGACACAGATGTTAAAATTATCTCAGATTTTAAAGCAGCTATTATAAAAGTGCTTCAATAAGCAACTGTGAACACTCATGGGAAAGAATGGAAAAATAAAAAGTTGTTTCAAAGAAAAATAAGATACAAAGAAGAGCCAAATAGTTGAAAATACAATAACTGAACTTTTTAAAAAGTTACAGAATGAGCTCCATAGCAAAGTGGGGATGACAGAGGAAATAGGCAGCAGAGGAGTCCAAGATAGCAGAGGAGTAGACCTTAGTTTTGTCTGGTCCAAGGAATTCAGCTAGATAACTATCACGTCATTCTGAACACCTGCGAACTCAACTGGAGATCTAAGAAAAAAAAAAACAGCTGCAACTCTACAAATAGAAAAGCGGCCACTTTCTACAAGGTAGGTGCAGAGAAGTAAATCGGAGGTGATATATCGGAAGATAAACTGTGGGGGGAGGGAGCCTCAGTAAGTCAGCTACCCAAAAGTGATAGAGCAGTGGAGTGCAAAATCGGAACTTTTAGAAGTCTGCTCCAGTGAGGGACATCCCAGCCTGAAAGGCACTCAGATGGCGAAGTGGGGCAGAATCCTAGGTGGCACAATGTGTGTGGTCTCGGAATCAAGGTGTAAAATGAGAAAAATATGCAGCCAAGAATACTTTATCCAGCAAGGCTGTCATTCAGAATAGAAGGAGAGATAAAGAGCTTCCAGGACAAACAGAAACTGAAAGAATCTGTGATCACTAAACCAGCCCTGCAAGAAATATTAAAGGAGAGGGGCGCCTGGGTGGCTCAGTTGGTTAAGCGTCTGCCTTTGTGCTGGGATCGAGTCCCACATTGGGCTCCCTGTTTAGAGGGGAGACAGCTTCTCCTTCTTCCTCTGCCCCTACCCTCCCTGCTCGTGCTCATGCTCTCTTTCTCTCGTGCGCGTGCTCTCTCAAATAAATAAAATCTTTAAAAAAAAATTTAAAGAAATATTAAAGGAGATCCTTTAAGCAGAGAGAGCCCAAAAGTAACATAGACCAGAGAGAAACAGAGACAATATACAGAAACACTGACTTTACGGTAATACAATGGCACTAAATTCGTATCTTTCAATAGTTGCTAAATGCCCCAGTCAAAAGACACAGGCTATCAGACTGGATAAAAAAGCAAGACCCATCAATATGCTGTCTGCAAGAGACTTATTTTAGACCCAAAGACACCTCCAGAATGAAAGTGAGGGGGTGGAAAACCATTTATCATGCTAATGGACATCAAAAGAAAGCTGGGGTGGCAATCCTTATATCAGACAAATTAGATTTTAAACCAAAGACCGTACTAAGAGATAAGGAAGGACACTGTATCATAATTAAAGGGTCTATCCAACAAGAAGATCTACCAATTGTAAATATTTATGCCCTTAACATGGGAGCAGCCAATTATAAAAATGAAATTAATAACAAAATTAAAGAAACACATTGATAATAATAAAATAATAGTAGGGGACTTTAACACTCCACTCACTGCAATGGACAGATCATCTAAACGGAAGATCAATAAGGGAGCAAGGACTTTATTTTTTTTTAATATTTATTTTTTAATTTTTTACTTATTTTTTTATTAACATATAATGTATTACTTGTTTCAGGGGTAGAGGTCTGTGATTCATCAGTCTTATACCCAGTGCCCATTACAACACATACCCTTCCCAGTGTCCATCACCCATTTACCCCATTCCCCAATCCTCCGCCCCTCCAGCAACCCTTGGTTTGTTTCCTATGATTAAGACTCTCTTATGGTTTGTCTCCCTCTCTGGTTTCATCTTGAAACAAGGGCTGTAAATGACACATTGGGCCAGATGGACTTCACAGATATATTCAGAGCATTCCATCCTAAAGCAGGAGGATAAACATTCTTCTCGAGTGCACATGGTACATTCTCCAGAAGAGATCACATACTAGGGTCAAATATCAAGTCTCAACTGGTACCAAAAGACTGGAATCATTCCCTGCGTATTTTTGGACTACAGTGCTTTGAAACTGGAACTCAATCACATGAGGAAATTTGGAAAGAACTCAAATACATGGAGGCTAAAGAGCATCCTACTAAAGAATGAATGGGTCAACCAGGAAATTAAAGAATTAAAAAAATTCATGGAAACAAATGAAAATGAAAACACAATTGTTTAAAACCTTTGGGATGCAGCAAAGGTACTCCTAAGAGGGAAGTATATAGCACTACAAGCCTTTCTTGAGAAACATGAGAGGTCTCAAATACACAACCTAGCTTTACACCTAAAGGAGCTAGAGAAAGAACAGCAAATAAAGCTAAACCCAGGAGGAGAAGAGAATTAATAAAGATTAGAGCAGAAATCAGTGAAATGGAAACGAAAAGAACAGTAGAAAAGATCAACAAAACTAGGAGCTCATTCTTTGAAAGAATTAAAAAGATTGATAAACTCCTGGCCAGACTCATCAAAAAGAAAAAAGAAGGACCCAAATGAATAAAATCCTGAATGAAAAAGGACAGATCATGACCAACACCAAGGAAATACAATTAAAAGAATATTTTATGAGCAACTGTATATAAACAAATTAGGTAATCTGGAAGAAATGGATGCATTCTTAGAGACATATAAACTACCAAAACTGAAACAGGAAGAAATAGAAAACCTGAACAGACCCATAACCAGCAAGGAAATTGAAGCAGTCATCAAAATTCTGAAGCTGTACAAAAAACAGAAATGGAAGGAAAATATCCAAACTCTTTTTTATGAGGCCAGCATTACCTTGATCCCAAAACCAGACAAGGACCACCATTAAAAGGAGAATTACAGACTAGTATCTCTGATGAACATGGATGTAAAAATTCTCACCAAGATACTAGCCAATAGGATCCAACGGTACATTAAAAGGATTATTCACCACAACCAAGTGGGATTTATTCCTGGGATGCAAGGGTGGTTCAACATCTGCACATCAATGTGATACACTACATTAATAAAAGAAAGGACAAGAACAATATGATACTCTCAATAGATGCAGAAAAAGCATCTGACAAACTACAGCATCCTTTCTTGATTAAAATTCCTCAAAGTATAGGGATAGAGGGTACATACCTCAATATCATAAAAACCACAGATGAAAAGCCCACAGAAAATATTCTCAAAGGGGAAAAACTGAGAGCTTTCCCTCTAAGGTCAGGAACATGGCAGGGATGTCCACTATCACCACTGTTGTTCAACATGATACTGGAAGTCCTAGCCTCAGCAAACAGACCACAAAAAGAAATAAAAAGCATCCAAATCAGCAAAGAGGAAGTCAAACTCTCACTCTTTGCAGATGACATGATACTTTATGTGGAAAACCTAAAAGACTCTACCCCAAAATTGCTAGAACAGGAATTCAGAGAAGTGGCAGGGTACAAAATCAATGCACAGAAATCAGTTGCATTCTATACACTAACAATGAGAGGAAAGAGAAATTAAGGAGTTGATCCCATTTACAATTGCACCCAAAACCGTAAGATGCCTAGG